TAAATAAACATTAAACTAAAGTTGTTATGACAACTTTTTAACTTTTAAAATATACCTATATAAAAATGTTTCCCATGATAAACAAGTTCAGTTATTAGTAAATTTCACAAGGAAAACAATTCCTGTAGCTGGCTGTATACCACGTATCACAAAAAAGAGGTTAGTCTTCGTAAATGGGTATATTTATTTAAAAACCCTTAAAAGGGCTACATCAAAAAAACAAACGTTTTCGGACTAAACAGTCCATCATCAGGTTTAAATTTTAAAATTGCTAGGTTAAAATGCCTGAGCCACCAAAATACCTGGGTAAAAACCCTTTAAATTACATATAGTTGTAAAAGATTATACATCATGTTGAAAAAAAACTGTGATTTTCAGTATTAAATTAAATATGACTTCAGGTAACATACATGGCTGAAGTGAGTTCCAGAGCCGGAGAGTAAACCTCTTCACACGGAGAACAGCAGTTACCAGCTCTACCGAACTTAGACTTTGATTTCTAAAGATTGTTAATTTGAATTTTCTTCGATTTTATTCATTGGATTTTTACTGTAACAAATGACTTTTTTCAAAAAGATTATTTTTTCTCTTCAGCGGAGATAAAAATTGATAAAAAACATGTCTAGTTGTTAAAGTACCTAACATTTGTATTATCCAACATAAGCGAATCAATCAAAAAATAAAATGTTGAGAAAGCATGACGCTAAAGTTACAATTTAATTTCAGTATTCTACAAATGCTAGAATATTCCACAGGGTGATGCAAACTTAAAAAAAAAAACACCAATTCGTACATCCGGTATACAATGAAAATTTACCTGTTTAGCAACCATATTATTATAACGATATTGTCAAGAAATAAGGCTATAACATATTAAAAAAATCACTTAAATCGGACAAGTTTAGGAGATATCAAAAATTACCCATTTTTTGAAGTGGCCGGTTAATTTTGGCCCAGAGTGTATATAAAATATTTTTGTAAAGAAAATTAATTTACAATAAACCACAATACGATCAATTAAGAGATACTTAATAAAAAAAGAAAAGCATGTGGTTTAGACATTATAAATTATTAATAAATTGAACAATACAAAAAAAATCTGTCCATTATAATTTTAAAAATTTGTGATCAATTAAATATTTATTTAATTACAAACTATTTGTACACCCTCGGGGATTATTAAAAGAATTCACATTATATTCTTAAGACATATACATGTTTCATATATACATCCTGTATGATGAAAGTTATTAATAAAGATGAAGTAAAATGCAAATACATTCAAAAATTACATTCAAAACCAGTTATTACTGATAACATTCATAGAAACCTTAGGTAATGCTATATAACAATATGACTCAGCTGTTAATTAATGATAATTTTATATGGAAAAGGTAGTTTAACAGACTTCTAAAGATAATGCATTAAAAAAACTACACAAAAACTAACAAATATTATCCTATTTGAAATCAGACACTATTTACAATATACTATTTGAAAACTGACATATTCACTTAATTATTTTATTTTTGCACTTTCAGGCCAATTACTTTTGTATTAAAATACACAAATGTGATTTTAAAGTTTTATTTAATTCACCACCCGGCCACAACGCATAATCTTTCATTTAAGTCGGGTGTTCTGCTTTTTATCACTCCCGCACCCTTTTCACTTGGTTCTTACTCAAACTGGAGTCGACCAACAATCTCTTGGAGTAACAGGGTAGAGTATTACCTTGGACATTCTCGCCAGTAGCAACTGTATCGACGACCTCCACCGGATAAAGCATTTGTAATGGTCTCAGAAGTTGCCCTTGTGTAGTCGCAAGACGAACCAACCTTACCTGGTCATCCCTACCAGGTATAAGTTCAATAACCTTTCCTAAAGACCACTAAAGACGCTTGATGTTGTCATTGCCGACTAGACCGACATCCACGATAGACACTTTAGACATCTTGGGCTTCGTCGTTCCTGCTTTGAATTGAGCCCGATATTAAGCACGAAATCTATTTCGCAAATGATTTCTCAACTCTTGTAAACGCCGTATTTTGCGTGTGAGAGAATTCTGCTCTAGCAAATCACATTCCGGCAACTTGTAACTGACTTGTTCCTTTAAAAACATACTTGGGATTACCGAGATTAACTCAGTAGGATCGTCCGAAAGATACGTTAACGGACGCGAGTTGACTATACTCTCACAATCACACAATAATGTCAAAAAGTCTTCATAATTGAGAGACACTCGACCTAAAACTTTTCGCAAAAGAACTTTCACAATACCTACTAATCGCTCCCAAAATCCACCTCACCATGTGCCATAAACGGCACAAGTGAACAAGCAAACCCATGCTTTCTCAGCCGATTTCAAGAGGTCTCGCTAAGTCCACTCCGGAAATTTTAAAAGCTATAGTATCCCAAACTCTATCAGCCGGCAACGAAGGCGTTTGTACTTCGAACAATTTCCCTTCTTGTCTCTTGCACACACCACATTCTTTTAAAATGGACCGCACAATCCGTCTACCCCCTAAAGTCCAATATGTAGTAGTCCTTGTATGCCTACATGACAAGAGCTTTTGTGTAGACTTAAAATTAACTTACATACTATAAAATGTTCACCCAGAAATAAGATAGGCAGACGAAAATCTTCCGTGTCAAGTCTCTCAGTAACGCAAGTTTTTAAATGTATAAGTCCAAATTCATCGACAAACATGTTAACGAGGAAATTCGTTTCGTATCTGAATGTATGCCAATCGTCAGATGTCATATTCAATAGTGACGAACCAGCTTTTTTCTTTTTCTCGGTACAGACTCCTTCTTCATTAACTTCTAATTTTTGTTGGTACTAATCATATTCATTTCTCTACAACCATTTCGGGCCCTCCCACCATCGAGTTGAACAATTGCTGAACACCACAACTTCTTGATGAAAGATCGGCAGGATTGAGAGAACCAGGTACATATTTCCAACACTCAGGATTGACTAAATTTCCAATCTCCTGAGCTCTATTAAAAACAAAAACAGACCAGTCATCCTTACATTGAATCCAAGAAAGAACAGTAGTGGAATCACTCCAAAAATAAGACTCAACATATTGAGAAAATTGTCTTTTTACTGACTGATAAAGTCTAACACCAATAGTGGCAGCCAACAGTTCCAATCTGAGTATAGAAATCTTCTTCAAAGGAGCCACACGACTCTTATCTGCTACAAGGAAAATTGAGACAACATCATTCCGAACAACTCTTAAAAATACTACTACTAAAATAAGCTTTCTTACTTGAATCTGAAAATATGCAAGCTGCAATGATCAGCTTCCATGAGTCCAGCCTGAATCCAGTGTGGAATCTCAATACTCGACAGTTCAGGAACATGAGTAACCCAATTACAAAATTATTTAGCCATTTCACTCTCGACTGGAGCATCCCATCCCTGGCGCTTCTCCCAAAGTTTCTCTAGAAACAGTTTGGGGAATAGGGATACTGGACAGGTAAAACCAACAGGGTCAAATATACCCTGAGCTATAGAAAGCATCAGTCTTTTAGTTATGGGACGTTTCAATTCTATTCCTTGAAAAGTTTCACTATTGATTTTCAGAGTGTCTCTTGAAGAGTCCCAGGGAAGAATAAGAACAGGGACAACTGTTTTTGTATTACCAGAGGCCTCCCACCTTCTTAAGTCCATCTTAGCTTCCTCCACAAGGGTGGTTTCTTCCCATACAAACACTCTGGTCATTTTCATCAGTAACACTGGTCACACAATTATCCAAATAAAACCCAGTCATAAGCTTTTCAATTGTTGTTGTAAAGAATACGGATTATCATTACAATATTTCTCCAGCACCTTTGTTAAATGAAACTATAGTGGCACCCAGAAGAAATGGAATACAATTGACTCCAAAAACAACCCTCTTGTGTCGAAATACAAATCCCTTTCCTTCATAGTTCACCCATAGGTATCTCAAAACAATCTCTGTCCTTTTAATGTATAGAAATTTGAAGAAAAGCCTTTTGAATATCTGACACAACTCCTACCTTACTAATAGAACAGAAGGAATAAGAACAAGATTAGGCTCTACCTCCAAACATTGATTTAAAGAAGCACAACCCTGTTCATGAGATGATGTATCAAAGACTGGCCTAATTTTTGTGATTTCACTATTATTTTTAAACAGGCCTGTGAGGTAAATAATGGAAAAATATGGAAATACATGTTTTACGGAGGAAGGCAATAGATAAGAATAACTGGAGAGAAATTCTTGAGGAGGCTAGGACTCATGCAGTGTTGTAAAGAATAATGATGTAAAAGGTGTCTGCATGGATTTTGATGTCACATGGGTTCTTGGTATACTTACCTATATGTTTATCACATTTATTATTAGATATTAAAATTTTAACATGCTTTAGACAGAAATGTTGTAAAGAAATTAAGAAATAATTTTTTGGAGAGTGTAAGTATTACTAATAAAACTGTTGTTTTCATACTAACCAAAAGTATTATTGACAAGCATACCAACTAACAACATTACACCATTACACCCACACAAATCAGTACCCTAGTAAGTTTTATAGGAGTACTTATTTTCTCATAACACATAGTTGTTATAATAAATAAAATCTAAATACTTAAATACACCTCAAACATAATCTTCATATTAAAATCTTAGAACACGAAACATAAAAGAGTTCAACTAGCAAATGGGGACAAATAGCCCCTTACCATTATAACTGATAATACATATGTTAGTTGGTTCAAAAGAACATAAATAAAAATGTTTTAACTAACACACTTACGCCAAATTTGCAGTTGCCATGTGTTATCAAAGCAATACAAAACTCTCCTATGATTAAAAAAAATAAATGATAAATAACAGTCATTTGCAGCAAACAAATCCAATATGTATCAATTAAAAATAGATAAAATGAGTTTTTTTTTTATAAAAATCAAAGGAACAATTTACATATTTCCAAATTTAATAAAACTTATAAGATGTGTAACTTACCATATCAGCTTGTTCTGCTGCTGGTAAACTGCTCGCTCTATGTAACTGGCAGATTTGAGGCAAACAATTAGCAACACATGCATAATTCAATAAAAATAGAAAGTTCGCAGCCCCTCTAAACTGATATGGTGCAATGATATTTTTTTCTAATAACTCGACATATTCTCTGCAGTTGACATTAAGTACATTATTGTTGCTATTCAAAAATTTGGCAGTGCCTTTCCACTGTTCTATAACCACACAATCCTTAAGTAGAATTTTAATGATAGGTTTAGAAATATCTTTTGGATCAAAGACTAAAGACTTTGAACACATTTTGAGCCTACCATCCTGTTTTTTAGTATCGTATGTCTTTGGTGTAATATCTGGTGGTATAAAAATCGCGCTGAAATCTTCAAAGTATATTTCGCCGGGATCAAGTAGTAATAATGAAAACCTGGAAATAAAATTACTCTCATTTTAAAAGTATAACCTAAATTTAAAATATACCTTTCTTTTTCCATTTTTTACGTTCATTCGTTTATTTGATCTTAAATTATTAAATAATACCACTTTGATTAATAAGTATTCCTTTGAATTAGAAACACAAACACAAAAGAAAATTACGCGACTGTCACTGTCATATCTGACCTGACCTGACGTTAAGTTGTCACTGTTGACTTGACTGTTGTCAGTTGTCAGTTTCAGTTACAATGTGGGGAAAATAGAAAATTTCCCAAAATACAAAATTATTTGTCGTCACTCCCTATTAAATCAATCATTTATTATTCCAATACTGAATCGAAATTTGATTCAAGTAAACACTCGATTACTGCAGAAATCAGAATATTTCAATTTAAAAATTATTATTAAATTTTTTGGTAATTGAGAAACATGAATTCCTTTCTGAATTGTAACATTGGAACAATTTATTACCAAAATTTTGGTAATGATAACCGTATTTGGCAAAATTTAAAAGATTAATACATAATTAATTCAGCAATTAAACACAAAACTGAAATGCAATTTGAAATGTTTAACAGGAACATAGGAAGTTCCATTCGGTTTTTCCGAATTGATTTCGTTTAGTCTGCCTTGCTCCTGCCAACATAAAATAATGTTTTGTTTCATTTTAATAAATGTCAAATTGTTACACTGTCAAACAAAATGTTAAAAGCAGAAGTTACAAAAAGGAGCGATTCAGAATTCATATCACTCAAAAATGGTGTAAATGTATTATTTTTAAATAAATTATGACAATAAAACAATATAAATTGATAAAATGGGGAAAATGTAATACATTTTATGACATCTTTTTTAAACTGATATATTTTGCCGCCATAATCATATGTTTAGTAAAGTGTATTTTCGTAACAAGTAAAGATGTTACTGAACAGGTATATCTTCGGAATAACTCGAACCGTATCCATTTTATACTGCTATTATGAGTTGAATATCAATATTAAACGCAAATATATATATTTTAGCTTTAATTAAAAGGTGTAAATTTACACTATAACGAATTTGCTGTTAAATTTTTGTATTTATGTTTAAACAGGAATGATTTAGTGACCAAATTTCTAATATCTAATATCAATAACTAAAAACGCACTTTATTTTAAATTAAAATAGGTCGTCCCTTTCTAAATTGAAATCATAAGAAAACTTTTATTTATTTTTAATGATTATATATATTTTTAATTAGTTTAATAAAACGATAAAAGCTTATAAACTATATAAAAAAAAAAACAATATAAAGGGACAGAAAATTGCAAATAAAAATAGCAAATGAGCGAAAGAAAATCATTGGAAGAACAAAAATGCTCAAAAGCTGCTGTAATAAATGCTCTAAAGGTAAGAGAGTTTAGTGTGCAAGAAAAATGTAGTTTAAATGCCAAAGTAGGAATATCTATATTTATATGTAAATTTTCTGGTTCAACAGAAATATAATACTGACACTATTTAACAAGTCAACATTCATTTCTGGGCTTCTTTTTTATTTATATATGGTTATAAGACTATTTCGATTATTTTTTTAATTTGCAGTAATAGTCGAGATCTAGATGTGGATCTATTCAATACACTTGATCAGTTCCCAAGAACAGGTTCAAGGAACAGTTCCTGTATACCTGTTCTAAGATTCAGTTCCGTTCCTTTGGTAACAACTTTATGTGCGAAACCCCCGAGAGTTTTTATATATTAGTTCAGCAATAAAAATTGAAAAATGTTTTAAAACAGTGAAAAAGTGAAGTGTGATTAACAAGAAAATCGTGTATAATAGTAGATCTAGTATTCTGATGTCCTACCTTCCTGTCATTGTGATTTAGCATCATAAATTTGATAATTTTTTAGTTAGTGAAATAGTATCTATATCAGACAAATAATGTTTCCCCAGAACAATATGAAGTCAAATTGAGACATAAATCCTGTGGTTTGTAATGGTTTTGAATGCATTTAATGTGAGTATCTATGTGTATAGGTTATGGTTTATATATTGGAATCCCAAATGCAAAAAGGGGGCATGTCCATGAACTTAACGAATAACTGAGTTTAAACACTACCTATTAGCAGATGGAATAATTAATTTTATTTAAATAAGGTAAAACTTTATTGTATTTATGTTATGTCAGTTTTTTGATACTAGATTTGTGCCAAATGTTAATCCACTAGTATTACTGTTATAAACAGGAAACTCATGGTGATTTCCTTCCTTCAATCATGGTATTCTGTGATTTATTTATTCCGAATCACTGTTTTTGGTGACCCTATATATTTACCTAGATTCTGCTGTTCTATCATACCTCTACAATCTTCAACTGTTTTGATCTGTTTTACTCTGTATTCACTTAGTATTTTGTTGTTCTTGTAAGCCTGCAATGTCTTTTTTTCATTAAATTTGTTGACAATATTTTTCCTTTGTTCTTTTTTATTTATCACCAATATCTTCTCTGTATGGATCTTGATATTGTCTACAGTTTTTTGTTCCTGTAGTAATGTTTTTATTGGGTGCAATTGTTTCACAATATTTGTTGCTTGTAGTAGCCTGTGTTTGATCTATTGTAATTTTTTTAATCATCACCTATATATAAGTACCTGTACATTTGTTTTTTGATTTAATATTGGCTAGATTTTTATGCTACAAAGCAAATATCTTCTGTTTTGCCTTTGGTATAACAACTTAAAACTCTGTATATAAAACTAATTATATTCAAAATCTCTGTAAGTATTTAGACTATTTTCAAATTTCAACTAGTAGTAGTTGTTGTTCCATTCCCCACTTCTTGTCTTCATTCTGTTTCTTATTTCACTAGATCTATCTAATCTTGTTATATGTGGACTGTTGGAATATCAAAAAATAATATATCTGATGTTTACTATAAATAAAACAAAAGTTGTTAAATTATAATATTAATTAAATACAAATAAAATATATTAATTGGACAAAGTACACAAAGATATCATCATCATCATCATAAGTGGCTCTGTTGTGGATCTTGGCCTGCTCACAAAAAAGTCTCCACTCCTGGCGATTCCTGCCAACTTCCCTCCATCTTCTAACCCTTAGAATCTGTAAGTCTTCTTCTACATCATTCATCCATCTAATTTGTGGTCATCCTCTGCTTCTTGTGCTCTCTGGTTTTGAAAATATTACTTAATCTCTTCATGTATTTGTGATCCGACATCCTAGCAATGTGTCTATGCCATCTAAGTCTCTACACTTTAATGAATTTCACAATATCTGGATAGATGTATAACTGATATAGTTCAAACTTGTATCTTCGATGCCATAGCCCATTTTCATTTAGGGCCCCAAAAATCTTTCTAAGAATTTTTCTCTCAAAAATACCAGAAGGTGTTTCATCATTTTGAGATAAAGTCCATGTTTTAGCCCCATATATAAAAACTGGTCTTATCAAAATCTGTGATTTGGCTAGTTAAATTATAAATGCATACTTTTTCTCACAACTGATTGTTCAGCATTTAAGGCTACATAATACATTGATGGTTACATATTGAAATCTCGTAAGTCAAAATATACAACTTTTAAGCACAGCGGACAAACTTGGATACCCAGTACATATTTTTTCTTTCTTATTATTTATTAACATAACATAACAATATCTTTATTTTTAGAAAATAATATACATTCCGTGAACATAAAATTATTTAAAAAAAAAAAACAGTGTCACAAACGAAAATATTATTTACTTATTCCTAACCCTTACATATACAAATAGTCCTCCACAGAATATGGCTCAAGAGCTACCAGTAATTTAAATATTTGATGTTTATACAAACTTAATCTTTCCTCCCTTTTTATTAGGTTCAGGCAGTTTATTAAACAATTTGATGCAGCAATAAAGAGTGTTTTTTTCTGTTATACTTAACCTGTGTATTGGAATTTTATAATTATATAACCTGGTATTATACTATTGGGTTATTTTTTTATTACTTTGAAATTACTTTTATTACTTTATTTAATTATTACTTTGAAAAAACATGCTAAAACATAGTTTTCATGAATCTGTGGTTTTGCCAAATATTTGGAACAATATTTTCAACCCAAATCCTCATAAATCTAAAAATGGCCAGTTTTTGGCTTATGTGGTTTTAACATTTAACCTTCAATGTTTTTCTTCATTTCTTGACTCTATTCATTTTGTCACCTCTTTAGCCTCCAGTAGGCTGGAACAAAATCATATCTGTGTCTAGTATTATGATCATGCACTTCTTCATGGGTCCTAAAGCACCACAGCTTCTCTTAACAAACATAAGGTTCTCATATATATACAAGGAGGGCACAGTAAGATTTCCCAGAGTCCCATAGATCCATCTGCAATCATCCCTAAACCTAATTTCTGCAAGATTCCCTAAAGTTCTTCAGCTGCTGAGGAGATTGTGATGTCATCTGGGAAGAGTTTGTTTGTAGTGTTTGATTCAATGCTTGTAAGGTCATTAATATATATTAGGAATAGTATGGGTCCAAGGACTGAGGAATACCAATATTAACAACACTCCCCTGACAACACCTCAGATTGATTCAGACTCACAGATTGTATCCTATTCTCTAGGTATAATTGGATCAACTTGATACTCTGTGGACAGAAGTTGTGCCTCTGTAGTTTTTTTAGGAGTATCCCATTTGTCTATACAATCAAATACCTTACTTAAGTCACAAAACACAGCAGTGCTCAATTGCATTCTGTCAAAGGATTCCAAAATGCAGCACACTAGGTCAAGAATGCCAAGAGTTGTTCCTTACTGAAACCGAACTGTGATTCTGAGAAATAATTATTACTTTCGAAAAAAAAATTATGATTTGCAAAGCTATGGCCTTTTCTACTATTTTAGAGATGACTGGGCTCAATGCAACAGGCCCCTAGTTCTTAGGGACGTCAATTTCTTTTCTTTTTTAATATGGGTATTGTAATAGCCTTTTTTAGAATTGGGGGAAGTGTATTCTCTTTTAAGTATTGATTTATTAAGTGTGGAAGAGAGCTTATAATAATATTTTTTATCATCTTAATGATGCTAAAGATTTATTTAAGGAAAAGCTCTGTGAGTGATTTACATTGATGTTCTTAAAAAAATTCATATTTAATTCATTCATCTTTTATGAGCCTAGTGTAGAGCCCCATATATTCCTCGTTGTGTATTTATGATGTTCCACATGGTTTTTGGAGGATTTCTTGAAGTCAAGATTACTCTGTCATTAGAAATAACCTTTGCCTTTTTTTTTATTTCATTTTATACAGTTTTTAAAAGCATCTAGTATTTGTTAGTTGTTGTCAGTTTTATGTTGTCTGTAATACTCACTTAAAAAATTGATATGTTCTCGCATTACTTTTAGTCTGTTTTGGAACCATGTAATGCTCTGTCTTTACTTTATAGACTTTTTGAGGATGAGAAACATGATTCATAAATGCCCATAAATGTATTAAACTTTATATTTATAGAGGTGTCATTATCAGAAACAAACCCCAGTCTATCCCAGAGAGCCAAAAAAGAGTTGTTTAACTTTTTCAATTCTAGGTCAACAGGTTCAGATTTAGATGTATGTGTTTTGTTTTCTTTTCTTCAAACTCAAACTTGTTTTGTTTTCTGTTACTTAGAATTTTATCTGCCTCAATTAAATAGAACATTTTAAAATAGTATTCTCAAATTTTTGAGGTGTGTTATTGGAATGACGTTCATTTAACTAGATGAAATCAACTTTACTTCAAGATTCCCTATCAAACTAAAATGATATGCCAGGAGTTGTTTTATAATACCACACAATCCATCATAATATTATCCAAACATGGTAGTAAAGTTCTCTTATTAGGAATTCTTATTTACTTACTTATTCGTCTCATTCATTATACTTACCACTCTGTATATTTTTTATTCTATCATCAATTTCTTATCTTCCATACCATCCAAATGTTCCATAATTATTCAATAATTTGTAACAAGACTGTAGATAATTTAGTCATCCATATGTACCCATAGTTTGTAACTTCTTCTGGTGTATCATTTATATGCATTTCAAATATAAACTCTGTTGATATTTCTGACCTTAATTGTCTTTTAGTATGTATAAATGCTGTTTCAGTTCATTGATGTAAATTCCTGGCCCATTGTTTCTTAACTGAACATTGTTGTCTTTGGTAAATCTGTGAATAAGTATCTTTTAAGCAATAATTTACGTGAGTTTGAATTTAATAGACATTGTAAGACTTTTCTTTTGCGATTTTACAGTAAATCTGGCATACTCTGAACAGGGTATGACTGACATGTCTAAGCCAGTGTATATAGGTGTTGTGATATGCTTTATCCTATTGTATAAAAGGCCTATAAAACCTTTTTTAAGCAATAATAGTGTTTCTTTAAATTGGTTTAAATGTCTGTTAGATTTGTTTTTAAATGTCTATAAATGTGCTTATAGATAATTATAACAGAATATGAATTATTCATATCCAATGCTTTACTTTGCTTTACTTTGTTACTCAATCAATTCTTCTAAAGTAGATTTTCACATTTTTTATTTTTATTATTTTCTGAATACACTGGTCATAGATATGGCTGATATAAGGTTCTTAATGCCCATATATGGTGAAATTAAGCGTTTATTTTCTTCAATTTTTTTAAATCTTCATCAACTACTAAATATAAATCTCCATATTTTAATTCTAATAACATTGTGTAAAAGTATTGTGTGTTCGTGGTTATAAAATGCCCCATTATAGCCATTTTTTAGTTGTTTAGAGTTTTTATTGCAGACCAAACCAATTGATATAGGTTGTCCAGGTTTAGAAAACTTATTTAAATAGTAGAAACAAGTTTATATAAGTACTTATTGATTCGTTTTTTTTTCAGAAATATCTTGAAATTAGAAATAGAGATTAACACGAACATTTTTGATTTATTTATAATTGTGAGTGTTAAATTATGATAAAATAATTGTATATCAATAATAATTAGATTTAAAAATATTTTGATTAATAATTTCTATCTGCACTACTTCACAGAAACCTACATATATAATATTAGCCTAATAAAAACAAAAATATTGTTGTTATAAATGGTTTTGAGATAATAAATCCCTATTTTTTGATACATAATAATAAACATAAATGCATGTTTATAAACTATTTCATCTTGTTGTTAACTTTAAAATGAAATGGGAAACTTTTCGAAATACAATAATACTTGCATCCTTTTGTTAATTGTTAAAACTTTGGTTTATGTTTCTATATAACTATTTTTTACATGAGGCATCAACCATGCAGAGTTATTAGCTTGCATGGTTTGTGTTGCAAAATTAGGAATTTGCAACACAAATCATCTATCAGTGTCGCTCTCAAATCCACTAATTGGGAAGCAAATAATGCAGTGCATAATGCGGTGGAGCTCCAGCTTTTTGGAACCATAAATGTTTGTCAGATATATCAGTGGTATTATTATTTGGAAACATTATTGCATAAGCGGGACAAAGTTTATTTTGTAAAAAATCTAAATATGTCATCATCATCATCATCTGACTTTACAACTCTATGTGGGTTCTATCCTCTTCAAGAATTTCTCTCCAGTCGTCTCTAGCCATCGCCTTTCTTCACCAAGCACATATTCCCATACTTCTCATGTTCTCATCGGTGTTATCAAGGAATCTTGTTCTAGGTCTTCCTCTTCTTATCTGACCAATGGGTCTATCAAGGAGCGTTTTTATATCTTTAACAATTCCTGCATAGACATTTCCTTTTTGGAGATACTGAGTATGGTGTTGTCTCAACCAGTAAACATTTTCTAAGATCCAATACTGACAGTTTTGTCTATTCACATATCCATTAAGACAAAATATTGTTTAAATTTTGTCAATGGGCCAATATGTGAGCTTTTTGATTGAGTGCCATTTTCTATTGAATAATGAAGTTTCTATACATTTTGTATTAGGTTAGCCTTTGTGGTAGTGTTAAAATCTGGTTTAATGATAAATTATTCTCCAAGTGTGTTGGAGAAAGCAATTTTCTTTTTTTTTTAGATTGTTTTGATAGAAAATATGAAGCTGCTATTAATATATTTTTTGTTTTGACACTCATACTGGCTGTCTGGATAGATTCAGTCTTTAAGCTTTGCATTTTGAAGTGAATTTTGATATTTTCTTCGATTAGTGCTATTCCTCCACTGACTGTGTTCTTAGGGTGAATAGTTTAATGCCTTTGTTTTGTAAAGGGAGTCTCTGATATTAGATATGTATCGATTTTGTGGTTCTTTATCTTTAACAGTATTTCTTGCTGATGCTATAAGGAGCCACTTCCATTTCATTATAATATACTTAGCTCTCTTTGCCATTTGATCCTTTCTTAACTTCTGTGCTATTTAGCCCTTCTATTGAATTCTTCTTGGTTATCTATGCGTTCTATTATTTGTAATATATTTGTTACTGAATTGGGATAATTCTCTTGTTGTTACAGGGAATGTGCAGGCTATTGGGCATATGTTTGTATCCAATTTACCTTTGTCAGTTGGTTTTATGTAGGGTTGGGGTTTTAGGTAGGCCATACCTGTTGTCTTCTTTTGTGGTGTGATTGTAGGTTTTTGTTGGTTCCTTAATTTTTCAAGAACTGTAGCAATGGTGCAACCTTTGTAATTAGCTGTGTGGCCACAAAGTACACTTTTACATTCCTTATTTTGCAGGTTTTTGCAATAATTTGTTAGATATTTCCCGATACATTTGACACATATCACATTGTGGAAGCAATTTCGGTTTTCTAAAACCTTTTTTTGTATTATACAAGCTAAATTATACTTCTTGTAAACTTATCTTGAAATAATATATTTTACTTTGTTTCAGAAATTCCAAAGGTAATATCAATGTAGTCTGGAAATGGTGTGTAAGGAGGAAGTACTGGTATGGTTCAAGGACTTGGAAAGTCACAATAGGATAGATTTGGTGTATGAGTTACTAAATATGTGTTTACCATTCGAGGTACGTTTTTTTGGCTCGTGTATCGAAGAATTAGGAAGACTCACTTATCTAGAACTACGGGGACCCAGCATCACAGCCAATGACGTAGAGAAATTATCAAAGGATGGGTCGTTTACTCATGGTATATTAGACGAGAGCGTTCGGCATAGGTTGATAATTTACATGTCTCTGCTATCGTCGAATAATTGCAGTGTAGCCAATTGGTTTTATCAAAATTTATTAAGGACAGACTCCATTGACGAGTATTTAAAAGAGAAGGGAAAGGATGAAATGGTACATAGTGAATTTTTATTGTTGTTTACAATGGCGTTGCATCATCCTGCATTTACGTTTGAACAAAAACAGTTTTTTAATAGGGTGCTAATGAGTTTAATTGATATTAGGGAAAATAGGGTATCAGCCAAACACAGTGCACTAGGATATCCACCTGGATTTGGATATCCAACTCAAAAGGTAAGATGTTTTATATATTCCTTACAATTATTTATTACGATGGGTGTTCCTACAGTCGATCTGCGCCAGTGGTAATCCAGAAATCAGTTTGATTTAAAATATTAGTAAAGTAGTTTAAACATTTGTATAATAGATCAGCTCCTCACTGTACAACAAATTGTAAATAAATCTGACGAGCACTATATTAATATTCATGATATATTCGATGATTTTGACTTATGCTCCAACAAAGAGAAGCCAATTATATAATATGTTGGAGTTTCTCGCCTTTTTTATGGATTGGTTAGATGATGCTCTAATTCCACTCTTTTGGCATTTTTTCTTGTCTCCATATTTTGTGTATGACCTCATATATAATTGATGGATTCGACCGTTACTTGATGGAAATTCATTTTATGTAACAATAAAACACTGAAAACTTTGTTTTCAAACTTCCACAAAATTTATTTTAACTATTATCACTACAGCTGTTTCGGCTGATTGCCTTTCTCAAGTGATCTATTTTTGGCATGCGTTTACAATTTATAGTCTCTAATGAAATAGGTTGAGGAGGGGAGAACTGTTTGTCTCAAGTTGGTCATTCAGAATTAAATCTGTGTTTTTTAATTTGTTGATTTCCATAGATTCTAACAAAGATAGCTTAAGGCCTTTATTTTGAATGTGAAGTATTTTAAATTTGTCATTAAAAGAATGATTATGATCTAGAAGGTGAAGTGCGTATGTCGAATCTGTTTTTCTATTATTGAAAGCCCTTTTATGTTCTGCTATTCGTTTATTAAAGTTTCTACCAGTTTGACCGATGTAAGTTTTTAGGCAGTCGCCACATTGAAGTTTTTACACACCACTATTTAAGTGTTTTTTATTTTGGCTCTTGTTATTTTTAATATATTTGCCTAGGTTGTTATTTGTTCGGAAAGCTGGTGTTATTCCTTTCTTTTTTATGTGTTTGGCTATTTTTGTTGTTATTTTGCCTGTATATGTAATTGAACAGAAAAAAACCCAGTACTTTCTTGTTTGTTGATCTTTGTTTGACAGATAATCTGTTATTTCATCAAACCAATTTATTAGGCCGTGCTAATATCCATTTTCGGATGTCTTCTAGCAGTTAACACCAGTGTCAAGTGTTGGTGAAATGGCCAATGTGTCAATTTGGAGCTCAGTAGAGTCACTATCTTAATTTCTCAAGAGACTCCTAGACACCAATTTTCTTTACACAAACACACTTTATCAATTTATCAACTTGTTCTACATAGAACACAAATTTGAAAGAAAATTTTTAAATATGTCAAATCTTATTTTGTTTTGATAGTCAATGGATATTCCGGTGATACCCGTAAAGACTGCTCCTACAACATGCGGCGATTCACCTGCGATATTTCATCAACCACCTGGTCTGTCCCACCTACCCCCGCCACCAGCAAATTTTGATTTTAGCAGCATTTCTATGTGGAATAGGCCAGGGTTCCCTTATGGTGCTCCGGAGGTGAGTGTATGTATTCATTTTTTTACTAATCATAGCGTAGTTTTGTTAATAATCCATCGAATGTGATGATAATATATTAGAATTACGCAGAAAAGGAAGCTAACCCATATTTAACCAGCAATTCTAACAATATTTTCAAAAATGTGTTTTTCTTATTAAATTAGTGCGATTAAAACAAAAATCAAGCTACCACTACGGAGGCTATATACGTGGAAATCGCCCGCAGATAATAAAAACAATTGTGTCCGAAATCAAATCTATTACATTATTATAAACCAGCGATATAAAAATGCAGTAACGGATACAAGAACATACCCAGGCGCAGATGTTCCATCGGACCACAACCTACTAGTGGCTAAATTAAAAATAAAGTTCAAAATGCTAAAAAAGACCGTCAAAAGAAAAACCGACATCAATTTACTTAAACAAGAAAATATACAAAGTATGGTAAAGACTAAACTCAACGAGGAATGTCAAAGACTCCAAAGAGAGTTATCACCAACTACAGAAGGCTTATGGACTGAAGTCAAGAATGCTTTTATTAGCGCCGAGAAATATATAAAAGACACTAATAACAAAAGAAAATCTAAACCCTGGATGACACAAAAAATTCTGGGAATGATGGATACTCGAAGAGCCTACAAAAATAAAAATAATGAAAAATATAGGGAGATACATCGTCAAATCAAGAAAGAAATAGCTACCGCAAAAGAAAATTGGAAGATAGAAAACTGCCAAGAGATCGAAGAATTAATAAAGAAACACGACAGTCAAACGCTTCACAAAAAAATAAAAGATCAAGCTGGAATGACAAAACAAAGACTTCCTTGTAGATTAACAAACGACGAGAATGAAACGATATGGGAATTAAGCGATCTAAACAACGTATGGGGCCATTACATAGAAGAACTATTCTCGGACACACCACTAAACAACATAATATATAAAAACCATGAAACCAGTCCTCCTATATTATAACAAGAAGTAGAGAGAGCAATCAAAAACGCAAAAAATGGGAAAGCTCCTGGCCCCGATGACATACATACGGAAGTCATAAAGCTACTGGAAGAGAAACATTTAAATATAATCGTCAAATTATTTAATCAAATATATACAAGCGGTGAAATTTCACAAGACTGGTTAAAATCAGTCTTTATTCCCCTTCCAAAAACTAAGGGAGCAAAGAAGTGTGGTGATTTCAGACTTATTAGTTTAATGTCGCATATGTTAAAGTTATTCTTGAAAGTTATTCACCAACGCATTTATAAGAAATGTGAACAGGATATCAGTGATCAACAATTTGGCTTCCGAAATGGATTTGGGACACGGGAAGCATTAACCAGTTTTATTATACTGCTGCAAAAATGTCAAGACCAAAAAAAGGATCTCTTTTTATGTTTTATTGACTATCAAAAGGCCTTCGACAAAGTAAAACATGATAAGCTGATGGATTGCCTTCACAAAAAGGGACTAGACGAGAACGATTTTAAAATTATCCAAACGCTGTATTTTAACCAAACTGCAGCAGTTAGAACAGAAGCCGGTGACACAGAAATATTCAATATCAAGCGAGGTGTACGACAGGGGTGTGTATTGTCACCACTACTTTTCAATATATATTCGGAAGAAATCTTTGCACGAGCACTAGAGCAATCAAGAGAAGGTGTTAAAATTAACGGCAGAGTTCTAAATAATGTACGATACGCCGACGACACGGTCCTAATTGCAGAGAGCGCACAGGATCTCCAGACACTCTTAGATCGCGTCAGATCGATCGGAGAACAATACGGCCTCAGCATTAACGTCAAGAAAATAAAAACAATGATTGTCTCCAAATCATCCATCCATCCACCCATGGCTTTAAACGTGAATGGTAACATTATCGAAAATGTCGAGAAATTTCGATATCTAGGGTGCTGGATAACGAAAGATATAGATCCAGACATAGAAATAAAATCGCGAATTGAACAAGCAAGAAATGTCTTTTTAAAAATGAAACAAATGTTTACGTCCCAAACACTCAATCTCAAAATCCGATACCGAATGCTGAAATGTTACGTTTACAGCACCTTACTATATGGAATGGAGGCCTGGACCTTCAGAATCAATTCACTCAGGCGTTTGGAAAGTTTTGAAATGTGGTTATTTCGAAGGATGCTGAAAGTCCCCTGGACAGCGCATATGAGCAACGAGCAGGTCCTACACAAGATGGGTACCGACATCTCTTTAAGAGATGGGTAACTCTTAAAAATAATGAAAACACGGAAAACCTCATATTTGGGACACATATACAGAAATGAGAAATACCAGCTATTGCAGCTTCTTATAGAGGGGAAGGTAGAAGGAAAACGTGGTCCTGGTAGACGGCAGGCGTCCTGGTTGAAGAACATTCGTGAGTGAACTGGTTTGGATTCTCAATCTTTAATAAGAAAAGCCAGGGACAGAAATGATTTTGCTGAGGTTATCGCCAACCTTCATTGAAGACGGCACCCAAAGAAGAAGAAAACAAAAATGAAAAAAATTGGAAATATATTTTTTATATAGAAAAACCACTGATGCGTTTATGCACCATTCGTATATACCATTACATTTTTTTCATATTTTGTTCTTGAAATAATTTTATGATCCCTTATGATGAGTTATTTTTGTTTATGTTTATTATTATTTATATATTTAGTATACATGATAGTCTTGCAAACATTATTCGTGACAATGTTCCCAATAAAACAGATGTTCAAGATGCCCTCCGTTCAGTTTTAAGCATTTTTCGTAGCCTTCATTAAGGTATGCTGGGCAAATATGGATTGGGACAGAGAAATGAGAATGACGACCATTTAGTGGAGTTCTGTAAAGAACATCTTACAATTACCAACACGTTTTATCAACATCATCCACGGAAATTATACACATGGTGCAGCCCAGATGGACGAACAAGAAATCAAATAGACCACATCCTAATAAGATCAAGATTAAAGTCGTCGGTTATCAACTGTAACACATGTCCTGGCGCAGACTGTGGAAGCGATCATCAACTCCTGGTATTAAATGTTCTACTTCGTTTTACAGTCCTCAAAAGACCCGTAAGAAAATGACTTCCAACAAAACCCAGAAGAAGCTCTTTCTTTAGACCCTGAGTTTTTATTCCGACCAAAAACCATTAAATGACACTTTTTAACATTAAGTTTTAAATATAATTTTAAATCGTCAGCAAACATTACAATACTGCTGTATGGAGTAGAAGCGTGGACCCTAACTGAGGCTATGCTTAAACGCTTGACAGCCTTTGAGATGTGGGTATACAGATGACTACTGAAAATAAGCTGGGTCGACAGAGTTAGAAATGAGGAGGTCCTTAGACGGCTGAACCAAACAACACAACTGGTCAATATAATAAAGAAACGCAAGCTGGAATACTTCGGTCATATTATGAGACACCCTGAAAAATATGATCTTTTACATCTGATCATTCAGGGAAAGATCCAAGGTAATCGTGGTCCTGGTAGAAGAAGAACATCATGGCTGAAAAATCTAAGGCAATGGTATGGAAAATCAACTACTTCGTTATTTAGAGCTGCTGTCAATAAAGTCACGATAGCGAATATGGTAGCCAACATGATATCCAACGATCGATAACGGTCATGGAACTAGAAGAAGAAGAAGCAAACATTAAAAAAACAACAAAGAGGAAACAGGAGGCAATGTCACTAACATAGTTATTGAATAGAAGAGATCCTAGGTGTGATCCTTGTGGTACTCCTGAAAGTACCTTAATATTAAGGTACAATTTACAAGAGAAGTTCGCCATTTCACAAATGTGAAAACGCTCAGAAGGGCTGACCATTTTTTGGTTAGAATTAATATAAGAGAAGCAATAATTAAAAAGCATAAACAGAGAAAGAAAGTTCAACGTAAATTTAATTTTGAAAAACTGCGAAAATTTGAGGTAGCGCAGGATTATAAAAAGGATATACAAGTAACCTACGCCAAACAAGATAGTGCTACTGTGAGTAACATACAACAAAAGTTCTTGAAAACACTATAATGGAAGCAACGTCAAAGAACATACCAAGAACAAAAAGATTTAGAAAAAAACACTGGTTCTATGACGAGTGTAGAACAGAGTTTAAACAAAGATTAGATTTGAGATTAAAAGTATTTACAAAGAATTGTAAAATACATTAAAACTGGGTACCAGGGAAGAACGATAAATGTAAAAATAAGCAAGGAGACCTGATAGTGAATGAAGACCAAATATGTGAAAGGTGGAAAGAATATTTCGAAGAGATGCTAAATGACGGAGTGACTACTGAAGAAAATTATTATATTCCTAAACCTCAAATAGTAATAGAAGAAATACCAAAGCACACAAAAGAAGAAATTGAAGAATCACTTCCATATACAAATTACAAAAGACATTAACAGCTTTGTAAATGTCAATAATAAGAAATAGTAGTATCAATGGAAAAATCGCCGAGCAATGCTAAAATTACTAACGTTTAATTACAAATTCACTGATTTGCTTAAACATATCCGGGCGGAAGTATTTCTAACTAATTATAGTGTTTAATTACGCGAATTATTTATATAAATCGTAGTAAAACAGGTATAAATAATACAGATTCCATATTTATTTGAAATATTCGAAAAATATCGACCAATTTAGTTTAATTGGAGGTAATATTAATGCGAAAGAAGAATTTTGCAAGAAAAAAGTTTTCGTGAATATTGACTCAAGATTCAAAATCTACAAAGATATATATATATATATATATATATATATATATATATATATATATATATATATATATATATATATATATATTCGGTTTTATAACGTCTTACGACGTTATCCGACTACCAAACGCCACTGTATTCTGTCTTGAGTTAGGTCTTCGTCCAGATTTCGAGCGCTAATCGCTTTCCTAACTCCCAGGTTCTAGCTCTGTGGTGGTCTTCCTCGTTTCCTCTTCTCTGGGGGTTGCCACATCATCGTTTTTTAGGCAATCTTTCGTCCTCCATTCGGCTCACATGCCCATACCATATGAGCTGTTTTATCTCAATATCCT